AGTTGCGTTTTTTTACTCATTTCCAGTAAAATCCAGTAAAAGTTTTTACGAATTTTCATGTTTTGGCGTTTTCGTACGCAAAAACTTGCAAAGTAGGGGAAATTGAGAGAGCGAAAAATGACAGCTGAAGTTGCAAGTTTTTACTGGATTTTACTGGATAAATTTTTACTTGTAAGAATTTGCCAGTACGAAAAACAGCTGATCGCATGTTGCTGTATGAAATTTAAACTAATAAGGAAACTGTTTGTGGATTTTTATTGTGGGAATTTTCAAAACAAACATATTTAAATATAAAATATATCGTTTTATTGGGAATATGCTGCGAATAAACAACCAATTTATCAGCTGTTCATGAAACTTGCAAATTATTACTGGAAAAGCGTTCGCGTACTTTTTTGCAAATTTTTTCTATGAGAGCGAATTCTTAGAAATAAAGTTACTGGAGAGTTACTGGCAAGTTACTGGATAATTTGTAAAAAAACACAACTATCGTCTTCATCGCAATCTACCCCTTTATTAACCAATTTTTCATGCAAAATACTAATTGAAATTGATGTAGCAGCATATATCCGATTTCGTGAGCTGTAACATTGGTACTTGTCTCTCGGCTAGCTCTTTCACAAATAAAAAAGTTTTCCAAGTCGTCTTGACAAAATTTACTTAGAAAATTTTGAAAAATTTGCTGTACTCCTTGGTGCTGGGCAAAGAGCTCTTTCGAAAGCATTTGCATAGACTTTATTGTAATACCTAAGCGTTCACTGCATTTCATTCGGGTGCCATTGAGCGTCATTGACCGCAAAAATTCCAAATGTGTATCTGGCATGAGATTTTTCCCCGTTTTATTAAACGCATTTTATATTGTTAAAAAATAAAATAAAATACACTTAATGTACACAAAATGCACGTGAACATTGCAAAGATCATATATATAAAAATATAAGTGTTAAGTGCTCTTTTTCATATGAAACTTTGCTAGTGAAACTGCAAAGAATTTACCAACGAATTAGTGTTGGGATAGCACGTGGTCTTAGAAACATCCGACCAACTTCGAACAACTCGAAATGATCCGCACACACAAAGGAGTTGTGCGGCGGATTATCCTTTATGCGGAGATTCTTTCTCCATTTGGCCACCTCACTTGCGTCCTTGGGGAACGAAAAAAACCGCCTCCCGCCGTTTTCGTTAATGCAATTTTGCACACGGCACTTTCGCTCACGGCTCATCAAAAAGGTAAATGGTAGCAATATCAATATGCAATTATATATTTTATATTTTATTTATTTGGCGAACAATTTTTCACAAACACAAAGGCTTTTCTATTGAAAATGGAATTACAGTTACATGGATGGGATATTATATGGAACCAAATATCGGTTGGGACCAAATGAAACAGGGTGAGACCTATGTTTATCACCCTATACTTCCGGTAGTGCATTGCAGTGATTTCCGGTAGTGGATTCCAAATTTTTTTTTTGGAAAATTTGGCATTCTGTTTTGGAGGCACATTCAGACAGGGTTGCCGTTTTAATACAATTGTATCATTTTTGATATTTTTTTTTCTAAACTACAAGGTTTTTTTTTTTTTTGATTGGATATTGTTTTGGATAACTAATTATTCCTAGTTATAACTAATTATATAACTATTGGACAAAGTTGACAACTGACTTGTTCGGCGAACAAGATAAAAGAGAATGTGAGAAGCGCAAATTTTCTTAATATTCAAATTTCGACAGTAAACGTGTTTTAATTGTGCTAAATTTAAAAAATTTGTAATTTACAATGAGAATTAATTAGGAAAATGTGAAAAATTGTGATTTTTGTGCAAATTTTAGTGAATTTCAGTGCATTTAAAGTTTCTTGGACGTCGTCGAGAAAACCAAAGTAGGGGTATGTCCGACGGCGCCACCTTGTTCGCTGTATCGTGGATTGCACGTTAATTTTTTTAATACCTCTTGCCAACACGAAATAGTAATTGTAGATGCACATATCGTCCACAAATAAATCTGAACCTGCTCTAAAAATTAAACTTTTTCATTCGCTTGTTTTTACATGATCCGGTATCATTCGTTCATGGCATGGCACAATAAACAGGTAGCAGCGTCGTAGCAAATACAAGAAGTGCATGTATTTTGTTGTTGCTTGGGGTCCATAAAGTGTCAAAAGACAAATGTCAAAATTTGCTGAGTTTGACGATTCAAAGAAAATCAAAATGCCCAGACAAGTCAAGAAACGTGAGTATTGAAATTTACTATATGAAATTTATAAACTTTTCAAAGAGCATTACAACATCCTTCATTGTGAAATAGATACAGAATATATGTAAGATTTTAACTGACTATTGCTTCTAGCTCCTTCCGTTCGGCGGCGGCAATGACTGTGGTCTTCCGGTTCGGAGACCAGAAGCTGGTCCTCGTCCAGCATTGTCCACCGACTTTAGACCGACCCTACGTAGGCAGATACTGAGTCCTTGTCGCTCTCAGTATGTATCGCGGTATCGGGTACACCCGTTGGCTGATCCACAGTTTCATTCGTGGTGTTTCCTGTGGACCCGGCGCTGTTTGCCACCGATGCAGAGTCGGAGGCACTAGGTCTGCTCGAGGCGTTGCCTGCTTTGTTAGCCTCTTGGTCTGTAGAATTGTCTAAAGGAGCGGGTCCGTTGATCCGCTTTCCGGTGGATTTTTACAGTGATAGAGTAAAAGCCGAAGCTTGTTATTATTAGCTTATTATTGGAGGCTAGGTCCTTCCGTGGGTCCTGAGTGGGTGGTTTGTACTTCCCACCCCTCCCGAAGGATCGCTTGTCGCTGGCGGCGAAGACTCGCATGTCCCACTGTAGGGAGCCTTTTTGCTCCTCCGTTAATCTTTAATTTTGCTAGATTTCAAAGGTTTGTGGTTATTAAAGTACCTTAATTAATTTTTTATATCATCGAAATTAAAGATTTGGCACGACTTTCAGAAAAGGTACACTGCAAAATATATAATATAGAATGTAATTTTTGAAATACCAGTAAAGGGTGCAAAAGTGGGAAAATAATAATAAAAACGCCTTTTCTCCTATCGCGCTACTTATATTCTCCCATTTGCTAGGCCTATTTCGTTATTTTAGTGCCTTTCCATGTCCTTTTTGGGAATTCTTAATTAGGGTATTCACAGTTCGTTTCGAAATAGGTCCCAAAATGTTGACAACAGTTTTCTAACCGTAATTTCTGTGGAATTGTTGTTTTAAGTAAGAAATTGTAAAACGACACCGTAACACTTGAAGGTATGTTTTTAGCGTTAATGCCTCGTAACCTCGGAGGTGGGCTGCATTAAAACAACTCCAATCAATTTTTTAAAATTTATTTATTGGGAGCTTTTCCATATTTGCATTTTATGTGAACGCAATGACTGATGAAAACAAATAAATTAAGGTAAAGAAAAACAACCATTTAAACTGTAAACGAAATGGTCGAATTTTCGTAAAAAAGAAAGGTCTATTAAAACTAGTAAAGTTTTCCGACGATTTTGCGACGTCTACAGGAAAAGACTGCTCCTAGTTTGATGCTAAAAAAGTTACAAAATTTTCACATCACCATTTTTAAACCCATACTGGAACGACAGTGAACACCCAAAGGTTTATTTCGTCTATTTCTTGATTAAACTTTAACTTTTTGCAGATTTTTGAGTCCCAAAACTGCTTACCCCGCCTATCAATAAAACCGTTCGAGATGGTAGCATTGGTCGAGACCAATCATATTTCACCACCGCAACGCTTTACTCACCACACTCATCCGCTTTCTTTTCTCTTATTAACTGTCAAACATTACCGGTTTGAAACTTTACTGAGGAAGTAAGACACGTCGCACGTTTTTCTCAATTACCAAAATATATTATTCTTTTGATCATAAATAAATACCAATTAATATTAAAACAACTAACACAGCCACCGCAATGCCGATAAGCCAAAATTTCTTCTGCAAGCCAGCAATGAGTAGAAAATAAAAACAAACGTTAGAAATATATAAGTATGTATGTACACATGTAAAAAAGCGAATATTAGCCGCCTTCGATTCGCCGCTTCTCAGTTTGTGTGTGAAAGCAACAACAAAGTCAGCAAGCAGCGATGAACCTCGCCAAGAGGTCGGCGAATCGATGGCATCTTTTGATTCAATCAACTTACCTTTAAAGCCTTCTGCTTCAACGTTTCAGCCTTTTTCAGCTTATGCTGACCTTTATCCACGAAGTGTGTCGCTTGTTGAGCAACAAATTCAACGCGGTTTATCGTTTCACTCTGCAAATACACGTACCCGTGAATAAGAACCCATTAAACATTTGGGTTGGAGATCAAGTGGGGATCCAATAAAAATTCCAAGGCTCAATGTTGATTTTCAAGTGTATCTCAATTGGAGAACAAAGCCATTCTCTAACAAAAGGGCACTTTTTTGCCTGGAAAATGATCTGAGTTCTCTACTTGAGAAAAGCTTGGATATCAATTTGAATTCTAACTTTATTCAAGTTTTAGTAAAACCTTGCGAAAAATGTTGGATCTCCATTTGAGAATCAAGAATTTCTCAAAGATTGGAAAAAATTTGGAAATATGTTTGCTTTGTGCCTATTGGGAATTAAGCAACTGACAGTGTTGGAGAACAAAGTATGTGTGTGTGCGTGTGTGTGTGTGATATACGCACCTGTTCCATTACAAGTGTTTGAATACGCAGGAATAACGCATGCACATCTTCAATGGACTTCTCCAGCTTCTTTAGCTCATTGAAACGATCCATCAAATCGCGTAGCGTGCGTCGTTCATTTTCGGTTTCTTCTAGAATCTGTGTGCGATATACACAGGTTTGTTTTGGGTATCTATTGCATTGTCTTGTTGTTTTGAAAATAAATCTAAACACTTACATTGCCTACGAAGAGGTTTGTTGTCTTATTTGCTATCAGTTCTTCGATTTCCTCTTCGGTGGAGTTGCAATTCACTAGAAAGGGTAAATATTTCAATAACAATTTGCTTGTATTTACTAATTTAAAGTGATTGCAGTGCGTCTACACATAAATAGTACCCACTTATTTTTGAATGTATTTCCAAATTCTTCTTCAGCTTTCGCTCGTACAGCTGCAGGAATTCTTCATTTTTCGTCCATATTTGTATGTAACTTTGATAGAGACCATAGAATAACGTTCGTTTCATGCGCGCCTCCAATGTGAAATCATTCTCTGGCGGCATATTCGATTTGAATTCCTTGAATTTGTTCATTAGTTGATTGCCCATTTTAAGATTTTGAGTACGCAGTTCGTCCATTTCTTTTTCTGTGAGAGCAGGAATTTATTTTAATTTTTATGGTATGCTGTAGATTTATGTTTGGTTCTGCTAAATAACAATTACATATAAAAGTTTACTTACCATTAAAATTACGTATATTTATTGTTTGCACCATACGATTCATTGTCTCCAAATTCGCGGAAATTTGTGCCAATTGTACTCGTATCTCCGAGTACTGAAAAAATAAAGTTTGTTATTAAAAAACTAAGTTAAATGAATTAAAAGCTGATAAAAGGTAGTAATATAAATTTATTTTGAGTTAGCCTGGTATTTATAGTTTATAATTTTGAAAACCCCTCTGGGACTTGACTTATGCATAGGAAACTTATGGTGTAGACAGGTGCTTGTCACAGAAATATGGTGTTTTTTAGTGCACAAAGCTGTGGATAGAGATAAATTGATATAGATTTCTGGGCACTAGCGAGATTTATACTGAATTATTTTTTTTATTGCTTATCGAGCAATTTACGGATATAGTCGTTAAGAGCTGTGGTGGACAAATCTTTTAGTAGGGACGAATTCACACTTTGTGCTAGACTTTGCCACTTTTTAACCCAATATGCCCTGGCGAATAATTTCATTTGCAAGGCAAAAACAGATGACGTGCAATATCGTCAATGGAATTAATGCCAATGGACATAAATTCATATAAGTAAGGGAATTAATGTCAATGACAATAATATACAGGCCAAAAGTGAATTATTGTCAGAAATGTTAAAAATCTTGCAACCTTTATTGTGACGTATAATAAGGTTAGCGGAAATAATGTCCATGGACACTGTTTCTTATCGTCCATAGATAATAGGATTACATTTTCGAAAGCGCAGTAAAATCCATGGACGGTATTTTTCTTACACAAAAATATTGACAAAATATACATACTTCTAACACACTACATATCGACTGCTGAGTGGAAGATCGACCTACCTCAGGAGCCAGTTTAAAAACGCCCTATCTCAAAAAACTTTTCAAGAACGCCCTATTTCAGCATTCGGTTTAAAACGCCCTATCTCAGCTGCCGATTCAAAAACGCCCTATATCAGCACATTTTCGATACATTTTGGAGTAAGATATGGGCGTTTTTGAACCGAATTCCGAGATAGGGTGTTTTTGAATAAAATTCTGAAATAGGTCGATCTTCCACTCAGCAGTCAATATGTACTATATATATAAAGTTAGCAAAACGCGGAATTTTATTGCGGATTTCGGGATAATATACTTTCATTAACATTGGTTCCGCAATATAGATATTCTGCCGAAATCCATAACAAAATCTAAATTTTTGAGCTTTGGTTTTAAAATTACCACACCCATTTCTAGAAGACTCATTGATTGAAAAATTTATGCAGCAAATACGGTTAACGAAGGAATATTCTGCCGAAATCTGCAATAAAATGTGCGTTTTGCTAACTTTAGTCCTACGATTTTCACGCCCATTTCTAGGAGTTTGCCGTCTTAAAGAAAAATCTTGCCGTACAAATATTATTTCTGGGTAGGTATTCTATCGGAATCTGCAATAAAATTTAAATTTTTGCAAAAAACCCGAAATTTAAAACCTTGCTAAATGTACCTCATCACAAGTTTTCGAAAACGATTTACAAACAATTGTTGACCCTCAGAAAATAAACCATCTCGTCATAAAAAAAAATATTTTAAAAATATTTCTTGAAAAACGCTAATTTTTTGAAACATGTTGTTTTTCTTTATAGAGAATTAAACAAGGATTACGATGGTGTAATTATGCAAATCGATTTCAAAAAGCTCAACTATAGGTAAGTTTTAAGAAAATCATGAAAATATTATATATAGAAATGTTAAGCCCGTTTCTTTACCTTTAAAACGAAGAAGTTTTAACGATGAGCAGAACTCGAGATATAACGATTTGAAGAAGTACATGAATGGCTAGAGTCACGACAAAATTAGAACCCATAAAAAAATCTGAAGCGCCTGGGTTCAAGCCCTGGTCAAAGCTACATCGTAAAAAATATGGAAAAAAGGTTTTTTCCTAACAGCGTTCGCCCCTCGGTGGGCAATGGCAAACATCCCAGTGTATTTCTGCCCTGGAAAACAGCTTCTCATAAAAATACAAAAGCCGTTGGAAGTCGGCGATAAACTGTACGTTCCTACCCTACAAAGGAGGAGAAGCTCGGCCAAACACTAACATGTGTGTAAGCGCCAGTCTATTATTATTTTAAGTATGTTCCAATAGTCTACAAAGATCTGCAAGCGCGTGGTCTATTTACATACTAATGGTACGCAAATATACATACATATATTTTTTTCAAAAAAACACTGTCTCTAACAGATAAAGTGATTGTTTTCCTCATTCAACTCTAAAGGAGTTTGTTTGCTTCAACATATTTAGTACATATGTTTGCCTGTGGATGTACATATGTACATATATGAAAACAATGGTAATCGCTGTCATCTATCAATGGATTACGTTGTATGCTGATATGATAAAATGAAACAATTTCTTGCAGACCCTTCTTGTCTTGAGTACTTACACTGGATAGTGAAAAAATTACGCAAGCATAAACTACTCTTTACTTAATAGTGTTTTTTTTTTGCATACTATAAAAAGCAATAAATACATGTGCTAACTATAACAATGACGTAAATCTATTTAAATTAGCCGCCAATTAATAAAGAATACTTTTGAAAATAAAAAAAAAAAAACGCCAGCTGCATTTACAAAAATGCACATTTGCTTTATTGAACTGCATGCGGCATATTCATTTACGAGCAATCTAAGCATTTACATATATGTACATACATACATACATACGCACTTACGTTTGTATATAGTATGTATATTTAATAATTTCGATTGCATTTGACGAGCGTAAAAGCGGCATGCGAGTAATAAAGTGCTAGCGCAAATTCTAATTACTCTCCGCTCTAAAGAAATAAAAAGAAAAAATTGCATTCTTTCGAAACTAGTGAGTAAATGCTTGTAACTCCTCAGTCATCTGTAGGAGAATGTATAAGTAAAATACATAAGTACAAAAATGTTTCTGACAATTTTACACTACTCCATGTAACGCTCGTGCAACCCACCACTTATTACAGCTCGTCAATCCATTTTTATTGGGTACTCGCTGAACACGCTAACCTGACCATAGACATGTAAAAAGACGGCCATTATAACTAATTTCCCCTACTAATATATATATGGTTCAATTCATGTCAAATCGACTAATGGTTGGAATTGACCGTCTTTAAGTTCTGACAAAGGGACCAAAATAAAAAAATATTTCTAAAATTCAAAATTTCACAATTTTAAATTTTAAAATCTACAGTTGGTTCTGATCTAGTTTGAAAAGTGATATATGGGATTATATAAAAGAAATAAGAAAAATAAAAATTTACAGAATTTTGTACTTTAAAAAATCGGAAAAGCACAAATAAATTTTTGGCTCAGTTTTTTTATGCAATACGCTTTTAAAAAGGTGTTTTTAAAAATATGAATTTCTGAACAAAAAAAAAAAACATTTTATTGCGAACTTTAAATTCAAAATAAATTTAAATTAAATAAAAACTTTTTAACATAACTTTATCTACAGTTTGAAATATAAATATTTTTAAAGTTCAAAAATTAATGTCTTAAAAAGCACATTGAAAACTTTAGGATCTCTTAAGATCAATTTATATACAGTCAGCGCCAAAAATATGTATACCCTGACGTTTTGATTATTTTATTTGTTTATATTTTCCATAAGAATTTTTCCTTATTTTTTCCATAAAAATATATGTATTTCATTCATTGAGAAAATCAATTTTTTTTAATTTCATATAGAACTCAGAAAATTCAAGAAATACCAACAAATTTTCATCGAAATTCATTCGAACTTTTCACTTCGATTTCGTTGGGAACATTTTGAGTATGCAGTTTTGTTGTAGTCTATTAAATTTTTACATCACATTAAACAAATTTTCTTTCATATGGAAGAAAATGCTCAACATCCTAATCCCCCACTTTGGTAATTCAATTCAATTCCATTCAATTCAATTCAATTTAATTGACAAGTTAAATTAAATGTTTGAATATGGGTGTCAAACAAGAGGGATTCAAGTAAGCACTATTTCTGAAATGCTATTGAAGATCGAGATTCAAGCTGTCCCCAATTAGTGAAAGTTGAATTTAGAAATAACAATACGAGTGTCAAACGAAAGAGGTTAAAAATGCTGTTCCTCCAAAATATTTTTGAAGAGGGTTACTATTTTTTTAAATGTCAAATCAAAGTTATTTAATTGAAATACTACATCTATTTATCTTACATATTTACAGCGAATTATTTGCAAAGAATTTTGAAAGAAAGTTACCACTTTTCCCAAAATTTTTGTACATATGTATGTATGTAAACCACAATTTTCATTTATGGTGTCTATGGCGTTTGATTAAACAGCTTGAGGTGCAGCTGTAACATCTGATAGCATGAACTTAAGCCGTTTTTATAAAAAAAAAATATTAAAATTAATTTAAAAAAAAAATTGTCAACACTTATCAGTAAATATGTATGTCACTTGTCTTTTCTACAAAATCTCCAAACCTACATAATAGAACTTTCAGCGGGTTGAATAGCTCACATACGAGTTTGCCCAGATACTTGCACAATATGTAGATATGTATGTATGACTCCAATTAGAGCGCAATTTATCTATGTACATATAACGCTCTCAAGGCTGCTTAGCGGCAACCTGATAAGCACTAATTTCGCGCGAGAGGGCAACAACACTCAGCCTCAGGTGTGACTGTGAACGCGAGAAAGAGTCCTATTACGTGTCTAGCCGTTTATAATAATAATACTTGTTATAGAAGATACATTCGTTAAGTGAATATGCAAATAGAGAAACATTATTTAAGAATATTACACGAAAATCAGTACTAATTTTACAATTTTAGAACAAACGTATTTGTTTTGCGCTCGATGAGCACAAGGCGTAGCAACGAAAGCGCGGAAATGCGGTCAAAGTTGTAAAAAAAAAACTCCGCAAGCTTAGCGTTTTAAAGCCCATTAAAAGAAAAATAGAAGTTGATTATGGAAAATGTAATAAAGATAATTAAAAAAAAAAACGCTTTAAATGAAAACTTCGGCCATGCTGGGCGGGCGGGCGACTATTGAACTCTCCAGTGTATGCAAATATGTACAGGAAAAAAGATTTACTTGCGCGTATATATGTAAGTAAGCAAATATAGACAGCTTAAGTATACTTGATAGCGTCTATCAATAAGTAAACTTCAGGTTAACTGGCTGTCTGCAAAATCGCATAAATAGATTTCTTTGTTATTGCGGCCGGTTTTAAGCGATCGCGCTTATTCATATGCATGCAAGTTATTGTTCTCGATTTAAATTATATGTTTCGTTAGTAAAAAATTTATTTAATTATGTATTTATATTCAAATTTATTTACCGGATTGAGTATTGCGTCCATGGGTGCACTCATCTCTGCTAATTTGAGTTCGATGTTGCTGGAGCGCTGAAACAATGCCGAACCATTCGATGCCGAGACAGTGGAGAGCACGCTGCCTGAGCGCTGTGGTGGGTGTAAAAAAAAGAGTTTAAATTAAAAAATTGAATATTTTTTAAGCAAAAATTTGGAGTAAAAATTTCTATCAAATCACACAACAGCATTTATCGTTACACTCACCCACAAGCACTCACACACACTAACCACAGCCTTTTACTTTCCACTTCCGCCTATGATCAGCTGATGGCTTGCCACATGCAGCAATGGCTTAACGGTAATAAATAAGCAGGCAGCAGCTGATTGTTGTCAATTTGTTTTTGTTTTTTTATCGAATCTTTGAACTCAAAACACCAAACAAAAAAACACCCAAATTATATCTCGCCAGCCTCAGCTATGGTGCTGCCAAATCTAAGCGATTTTCTTCTACCACTGCCGTCACACACTGCTGTTAGCCATAACTTTTACCGCTTGCGAGCTTACTAGATATACGCCATGCTAGAGGCTTGCTATCGGCGCGCTCTCGGGGCTGTTCTGACTCTGTGTCGTTTTTTTTCGTTTCTTTTTTCACTTTAGCACGCGCGTTTCTACCCTTCCTGTTGCAAATCATATGTACATAAGCACACACAAACTCATAAACTTAAGTAAGTAACCCGGCAGGAAAAAAAATTTATAAAAAATTACCAACTAATAGTTAGCTTTTTTTGAGGGATTTCGATAAATTATTCACTTTTATATACTTTGACAAAATTAACTTTAAGTGAGTTTTAAAATCATGCAAGTTTTTGTTTAAATATCCTCATATAAAAATTACTTTAAATGCACTTTCTTTCTGCACTTCAGAGACGCTTTTTCGAATTCAGGACAAAGAGAATAAATATTGAAATTTTGTATTATCATTTTAATGTTATGTCTGACGGAATTCAAATGTGGGACCACCTACAAAACAACGTATAAAAATTAAAAAAAAAACTAGTTAGTTACACTTTTTTGCGGCCCTCGCTCTTCAAAAGTAGTTAGACACGGCCAAGGCCGTATTTTGAGGGGGGNGGGGGGGGGGCCTTGTAGGTGTTCTGAACCCCAAAATAATACTTTAGAACTTGTCAAAATTTGGTGCGTCTATAATTTTTTCGACGACTGTAGCACAATGCCACTAATATTTGACTTATAAACAAAATACAAGCAGGAATTTAAAAATTTCAACCCCTGTTGTGAAATATTTTATTTTTATCAGTATTTTTCTTTTAACAAATCTATGTTGAAATAAAAATCAAGATAAAAAAAAAATATTTTGTCAGAACACCGCCCGAAAAAAAAATCCTGTATCCGGCCCGGGTTACGGCCGTAGGAAATAAGTAATACCTACATAAAAATCTACAACTAATAGATTGATGGGTAGTTAAAAGTTAGCTACAATCTAGTCCCATTTCCTGCGGGGTAATTAAATGTACACCTACAACTTTAAAACACACACATACACTCACATACGCTGCGTTATCTAAGTGGGCACATTCTCTCGGATAGCTCCGCATATGTATGGTATGTACGTATGGAGCTCCAACACTATATTGTCTTATGATTACATACTAGATTGTGGAGCATTTGTAACTTAAGTACTTACCTGTAGCAGCTCAGGCAGTCTGTCTTTAACCATTGTTGTTGCCGATGTTGTAGACGCTGCGCCGGTTGTTAATTAAATACTATTGCTGCTGCTGCTGCGCCGGTTGTTGTTGTTGCTATTTTCGCTCACTACTGCTATTATCACTTTCAGCGTATTTTACTGCTGATTCTTTGTTGTTAAGAAACTAATGTTTACCCTCGCTGTTGACATTGGCTTCAAACGCTGCCTGCTCCGAAACTCATTCGTTTTCACATATCAACGCCAAGCGTTTTAGTTAAAAGTAGAATTCGCCGCTCGCCATAGAATTTAAATTTTAAGTGTTTTGCTCTACTTTTCCATCGCAGTTTCGCTATTTGCTGCTTTGGTGCAATATTATTGCTTAATAGTTGCTTTTATCACTTGTCATATTTTATTATTATCTTTGCTTTTTTTGTTGTTGTTATTCTTATCTTATTTCGGTATGTTGTAGTAAACTATTCTTAATTGTCTTTGTTATTATTCATTTGTTTGTATCTGTTAATGAGAGATATTTTTAAGTTAATTATATTCAATTTTGTGCAAAGTTTCGACCGGAATAAATTGTGAAGCGGTAATTGGGTAGGTCTGAAACGGGTTGGGGGTTGGGGGGATTGTAGTTGAGAAATGTTGCTTTACTACTTAGGAAATTATATACATACATTGCCACAAAGACAGCATAGATTGCAGAAACATTGAATTTAGTCAAAAAAGTGTTCACTTTCAGCTGAAGAAACGTAAGAAAGAAGGCTTGATGTTTGGATTCCGCATGCACTCAAAGAAGTTTATTGTGGAAGGCGTAAGCAGATATTTGTGTTATGCTGCTAAAACGATCTCTTTTTGGGAAAAATGATAACTGCCGATGATGTTATTCTCTCAGTGTGCACAGTGTGTCGTCTTGAACAAGTTAGCTAGTCAAAAATAATGTTCACGAAAATCATTCCTATGGAGTACCTTGATTAATTGTTCTCTATTGTAAAAAGAGCCTTTCTCCCGGAAATTGTCCATCAAAACCCATGAAATACGCATTTTTAAATTTTTTACTTGGGCCGGGAAAACAGTAAAAATACGCTTTTTGTTAAATTTTAATGTAATTTGGCATCGGATGGTTTACGGGTTCGCCGATCACGAATTTGCAGGCAATAAAAAAAGCAAAATGACAGATTCAAACCTTTAATTGTTTCGTGAATAATTGCATTGCGAAATTGCATATCTCTAGCTTAGCGTGAAAAGTTGGTAAGTCTCATTTTTGTAATTTTATAGGAGGTGGAAAAAACTTCTTATAGCCATTTTCTTCAAGTATTTCGAAAAACTTTCAATAAAACATTTTGGCTGGATCTTTATTAAAAGATTTTGTACTATTTTGGACTTATCGGATTTTCGGTGCCTCTTTTGGACTTGGCAAATTTTCTTTCATTGAATAAAACGAGAATTTCTCCAGCCTCCTGTATCAAAATATGAATTTTCATACAAAGTGGACTTAGCAACTTTTCACTCAAGCTAGCGATATACGCATTCAGAAGATTAAAAAAAATTAAGTTCCTCACTTGTCTGCACTTTCATATTGTGACTGAGGGAAGTATGTAAGCAAATATCACGAGTTTTAGTCGAATATGGTGGCACACTTGTCTTAGATAGTGCATTATCTTAAGTTTTGCATAAAGAACAATATTTCACGGCGGAGTTGTATTTAAATGAAAACTTAAAAAAGATATGCTGAAAAAGTCAAAAAAATAACTCGTGCTCAAATACCCGTAGTTGTGTGTGTATGTAACGTATACGTCCCGTAGCACCATACACAGCTTCAATTAAAACAATAGAATACAATCAAACTTAAGCAGTTATAAAGTCCTAACCTCAACCTTTTTTGGCAATGTAACAGTGTCGATAACTCTGTCACCTAGAAATGTCCGTAGCTTTTCAATCGTAGCGGAGTTGTCTTCATACGTTCAAAGTTACAAATGTGGAATTCTCTAAAAAATCCTCTAAACGCAAGCACAAGAAGGACATAAGTAGATTTTTACATAACACGGTCAAAAATAAGTAGCTAATTTCCACACTGTCCTCCTTCTAAGTGACATTTATTCTGACTGTGTTCTGCGGGGCCCCCAACATAGCAGCGTCATTTAAATATTATTTATAAATTGTTTGTTCAAAAAGCACACCTTTACATTTTTCATACATATATTCGTCTGCTCATAGTCTGAACTCATGTCTGCGGTGAGTTAAACCCTAAAGAATTTGATTACTAAATCAAAGTTAATAAACAAAAAAAAAAAAAAATCAGCGGATTTGATAACTTTAAATGTCGGCAAAATCATAATTGTTTACTGACACAGTGAAACCTCAATATAACGATATTATGAAAAATATGTAAATGGAAGAGGCTCTACGGCTATATATACAGATGGTTCCAAGTTTACAAAAAGATTGAGTAGCGGGATTTACTCTGACGAATTCAAGATAAAGCTCAGTTTTCTCTTACCGGACTATTGTAGCGTTTTTCCAGAAGAGCTAAACGCCATAATGGAGGCGACTCGGTGGTCCATAACCTCCGCCCCTCCGCCTATCGATATTTATTCTGACAGCCAAGCTGCTTTAAAATCACTCAAATCTAACGAAACAACGTCCAACGTAGCCACGGAATGTAGGAAGACTCTCAACCTGCTGGCATCAAAATGCTCTTTGACTATTGTATTGGTCCCAGGACACAGGGACATTCCTGGCAAACTGCCTAGCCGACGAGCTGGCAAGGAGGGGGACGGAAATATCTGAAGTCAATTATGCTCAGAATGCGGGCATACTACAAACCTCCTGCAAACACGAACTAAAGACTAAACTCATCGAGGAGGTAAATACCAGGTGCGCCGTGGAAACCACCTGCAATACTACCGGGCAAATTTTGCCAAAGATTGATGTAAGGCAATCCATAGCTCTCACTCGGCTGGACGGCTCCACTCTCAGTTTAGTAGTCGGGGTAATCACCGGACACTGCCTGATGGGCACACACGCAATAAGGTCAGGATACCCCACCAACCATTTTTGTCGCAGTTGCAGGGACGAGGAAGAGGTGGAGAGCATCGAACATTACCGCTGCAATTGTCCCGCCCTGGCCAACGCGCACAACCAATTCTTCAACGAAGCTTCTTTAATTCTACTTATGCGAATTTCTGTATAAGTACATACTAAATAAGTATAAATTTGTTTTGTTTTATTTTGCCACTTTGAAACGCTAGAAATCATCCCAGACGACGAATGCCGATTTGAGTTTTACTGTACTTTGAATAACTTGAATATTCCTTTTTTAAAATTTTTTCTTTATTCGTTTTGCAAGTATTACCTCAGAGCTAAGAATATGCTCAGACGTATATACATATATATATATATATGGATGTAGTAGGAATGCGTATCTCTACCACTACGTACATATACATATGTACATGTGTATGAATGTATGTATGTATGTATATATTTGCACAATGGTTCGTACTTATATAGTGCGAATAATCAGAGCGCTGATAAGCACTGTGTGAGGAGAAGCATACGCTTATTTATCACTTTCAAAGATTTGTTTTTTGTAGTATTGACATATAATTGGGGTTTTGCGGCTGCGGTTGTGGTTTCACTATTTAGCTACAACACCTGGCAAGCGAAATGTTGTTTTCATGCAGGTACGTCATTTGTTGCCCAGTATTGCCTTACAGAAGAGTTTTGTAAGATTCACAAACAAATTGAGTTTCGAGAATTGCTAGCTTATGCTAATGACTCGCTAATTTCACTGGACGTTCAGCATGAATCAGCTGATTTCATTTAAGTCATATAGAGATTTGTTTTCGTGGGTATTTTTAAATTTATTTTTTTTTACTTTTATTTGAGTTTCTTAGTACTTTCCAAATTTCTAATTCGATTTGAATTTTAAATTTCCCGTTTTGCATTTCACATTCACTCTCAACTAATTTCGCATTCGCTTGCGCCGATTATCTAGTTCAACTAACTCGCGCTTGCCATTTGTCTGTTTGCCGACAGAAACGCGGCCGATTCGCGTGGCACGTTCGCCTGATCACTGCCACGAACCACGATCCATGATCAGCGCTGCGCGATCCGCTAGAACTTTACCTTGAAGCAATTATTCACTTTTGTTTTCTTTTTTCCCCTCTTTATTTGCGTGCACATCTACACTAGCGGCCTGGCGACAAGCTAGGATTATTTGCCGCGTTGTCTACGACGTTGCTCTCCAGCTGACAAGCTGTTGTGATAAGCGCGCGCCACTACTTTTAAATTATATGATAAGTTTCGCTACGCTATAAATTAATATTGTGCTTGCTGTAGGTTGTGATGAAAGCCGCAGCGCAAAAAATGCGCCTCAGAAGTGTACTGAACGCGACGAACGCAGCGCGGTAAATGCCTACCAGAATGTACAACGGCGGCGGCATAGCGCTGCTATGACAAATGTGTGCAAAGCCGAACGCGCTGCTGTCAGTTTAATTGCGCGCGCTTGTCCGCTTGTCTTGATAGTATGTCTAAGCGTGGTTACGTTAGCGAAGGCGTCATATGATGTAAATGATAAGTGGAACAGTTTAATGGTTATGCGAAAAATTCTTTGCGTCAGCGCTAGCAGTAGTGGCGGCATCGGCGGGAGCGTCGTCGCGGTCAGCGTAGTAGAGCGTTGAACAATAGCGCTTAATATACATTCAGTTTTTTTGTGGTTATCTACAAAAAAAAAAAATACACATTCTTTGCTGTTGCTCTTGTATGTTGTTCTGAGCGCCTTTATTTACACAGTCGATTTGTATGTGAGGCGCGCTGCTCTTTTCGCGCAATGCTTGCTTTAGTTATTGTAGCGTTCTTACTGATATGATATGATTAGCACCAGTGAACGACCAAGACGTTGACTACATACACACCTACATACCAATAGCACAAGCGGCGGTACGATTTCGCAAGAACGATGCAAACATTTCACTGCAGACTGTCTGCCTGCTACTAAACTTTAACGCTCTTAGTGAATTCGAGTTCGCGCCCTCCCTGCAGCTTCTCGGTGCGCAGCGCCGCTTATTGTATTTTAATTTTGGTGACTGCAATCGAAACTTTGACTTGTCAAACGAAGGTTGTGAGTACCTATAATTCGTAATATGTATGTACATAATTGTATGACTAATCGATGGACTACTCGAGTGAGTTATTGAATGTCCAAATGCTTAAACTTACACACTGCGCTCGCTATTGACACGCTCCCCGTATCGTTTGCGCGCGGCGCGCTGCTGAAATATTAACCAATTTTTTATTTTATTTTTAATTGTAATGCAAAGATATTTTTGTTTCGTTTACTATTTCGAGTTTGCAAAGTTTTTACGCTTTTGTTTTACTTTCGCGTTCATTTTTTTACATACATACACATGTACTTATCTACGTGCGAATAACAACCTTTTAATTGTTTATTTTTTCGTTTTTATTTCATTTCAACTAGCGCTTTTCAAGTACCTAGCTGTTGCTAGCATTCTTCTTTTGCATTCTTTTCACAACTACATAGCACTTACATAGTTTTTTNTCTGACGCTTCACCGCTTGTTGGCGAATTTGTGTTAATTGCACTTTCGCGCTGACTGTCGTACAACGTAGCGGTACGGTATACACATGTACACACATGCGTACATATCTGCTATACTTACGAAATCCCCTTTGCACTGTACTCCTCAACACTCTGCCCGCCACAGCGCTTAACCTCTAGCTGCGATCTGCTTGCCTTGCGGTTTCACCGCGCTCTTACTTGCTTTGCTTTGCTGCTGTGGTAGCTGGCATCAGCTGTTGCGCGCGGTGGGCGGTAGGCGGCGGTCTACTGTCGGGTTGCGAATTTCTATAGAATTAAGCTTAAAAGATTATTTTCTTGAAGATTTCTTTTTGCTTTTGCTTTTTACTCATATGTATTCTTTGTTGAGTATTAAGTGTGAGATTGTTATTCGCTTGGCTGTGCTTCATTTGTGCATTCTGTTGATTGTATTTATCTTTACACAGCGAAAAATTATTTTCGTCGACTTTCATTCATCTCATTATGCCGATGGTTCCGGGCTATTTCATCTCAACCGGTCGATAGCCGTCAATCTATCCAATCGTGAAGGCCAAGCGATATACTATCTTAACTCGATGAACTATTCTAACTTTTAACTAACTCAGCGGTGTCAGACAAACCTTCCTAACTCAGACGCGTCTAATTTTTGTGTTTTAACAACATAACATGCGACACAAAAAAAAGGGCGTGTCTGAGTTGGGATAGTTTGTCTGACAGTGCAGATTTAGTACAAAGTTAGGATAGTTCATCAAGTTAAGCTAGCCTATCTCATGGCGTTCAAGATGGGCGCGATTTACGGCTATCGACCAGTTAAGATGAAGTAGCCCAGGACCATCGATATGTAGATTCAAGCATATGATGGCATACAGCCCGGAAGGATCATTTTCACTAGCATCGCTAAGCACACGAGATCATTGATGGTGTGGGACTGCTCTTCGGTTTTAAGCCTTTCACAAACTACGCCCGACCACGTACGTGATATTAAAAATGCTAGCCCTGCGGTCCTTGGCACATTTTACAAGGTCATCCATCTTGTGGTTTGGAACAATAGGGCATCAGCTGGCAGACCATCGCCTCCTTTAACTTTGCCAATTTTGAGCGTCCATGCTGCTATTCGCATTTCATTGATACCGTCAACTTTGATTGAGGGATCCGTCTCATCATCTCCATGGTTTCTGTCTTTCTTATCTGTCAATAGGTTGTGGCCTCAAACTTTCCGCAAGCGCCGCACTTTCTGGGCTCTAATTCCTTCGCCCGACAAAGCTCTCCGCATTCATGTATTTCCGCTTCTTTTCTTCCTTTGAGTTAAATGTCCCTTTTCCTTTCTCAACTGCCGGTAATGCTTTCGAGCCAACGTCGGTCCCTTGGTCGGTTGTTCGTACGTCTAAAACGTTGAAAGCATACTATTCGTCTAGCTCTTTCGTTTATCGATCCGTAAACAGCCACCTGTTAATCATTGACTACCATTTTTTGGGCCACCAGAACTCACTTCCTGTTTCTTTTCCGCCAGTTTCCAGTTTGGGCGTAAATGATCGAGATGCTTAAGAACCTCGCTGCGGTTCGGAATGTGATTCGACGTCAGTTCATTGAGATGAACGAACGTATTTGGTAACGAAATCTCGCTCTATTGAAGAGAAAGTGCAGAAGGTATGTGAAGAGGCGTCTCTCCAATATGGGGTCCTCGTCTGATGGAATGCAGGATATGAACACTCTAGTATTTACGGCAACTTCCACTTCGTCCCAGTTAAAACGGTTTACAATGTGACTAAACAGACACGAGTGAGTATTTTTGGACCGTAGATAGAGGGTACGGAAGACCATGGCAAATCCACAAATCAACGACACAACAATAAGAATAATACTTCAATGTCTGTTTAACCATTATTTGATACCTTGTACCAAACTTGCAATAACAACAACAGCGGCAAATAAAAATTGAAATAGCTGGTGATCATCAAGCAGTGAACTACGGAAAAATTCAGAATGAATTCGAGAGTGCCATGGTAGTTGCCTTCCTATCTGAAAATGTAACTAAAAAGGCGCAAGTAAAACACTCTTCAAGTTTTAATTTGGCGTATGTTAGAATTTCAAAAACTTCAGCCTGGAACACCGTGGGTCATCCGCCCATGGGAATTGCGAGTTTGGTGCCGTGTCCATAGAAGCCTGCAGCTGATCTGTCTTCCATCCTTGAATCGTCCGTGTACGAATGTAGTAATTGGAATTTTGTGGCAAATCAGATCTCTTTGGGTATGGAGTCAGATGCTCCGCCTAATTCCAAACCAGGTATCTTCCTAAGAATACCTAGGTGAAGCTTCTTTATATAGAAGCAGTCCGTAGATAGTCGAAATTGCAGCTCCCTCGTGGCTTCCATTTCCTAAATAAAAACATGGAGCGGAGACCATCCTAGAAGTGATATATTTTTTGTAGTTTTATGAGACGTAGTTTGGCAGGTTCTTGCCAGAGATGTTAGGTATTTCAAATACAAATACAAAATACAAATCTTCACTTTTTGTAAATTTTGTTTTGTGACGTATTGTGTTTGGTATTTAGATATTATTTTAGAAGTATTTTAACTTCTCTGGTTTTGCAGAGCCTTGTGCCACCCTTAATTTAGATGCATACGACAAAATTGGGCGCACGATCGTGCGGTAAAGTAACTCCATCAGCCATGAGTTCAGCCCACTTTTTTTTATAATTGTCTTGTCAACAGTTTTTATTAAGATGGGGATTCCAATTAAGTCTCTTAGCTAGCGTAAGCCTTAGATACTTGTAGAACCCCTCCCGGCGGGCAGCGTCGTATGGCTCTGATTTTCACTTGAGTGTTAAGCAAAGGTTTGGTGATATCGCGTTCACGAAGCATATTATCGATCCAGCCCACAGTAAATGGATCTTTGCCACTTTGAACCAGTGCCCTTGAGATAAAACCATAGCCAGTATTATCGAAAGCCCCCTTAATGTCCAGGAAGGTGCACAGAGAAATCTTCATGGGCTCAAAAAAAACACTTTCGATCTTACTCAACAGTGTTTCCCGCTTTAGCTTAGCGGACTGGCCTAACTTTATTTAAAATACTGCAAATTTTTTTCATTTACAAAAATTAATCCAATCGTACATACATCCATGTACGCACATACATACATACGTACGTAAATTAAATATCCCAATGCAGCGAGGAAGCCCTTTACATTCGCCAAAAATTCTATTTATCCGCTAATTTCGCAACGTTTGTTTAGTCAACCCATAAGTAGAAATTGCACAGTTTAGTTTATTTGCATTTCCGCCAATGCGTGTTGCTGATAAATTAGTTTATTTGTCTGTCCTTGTTTCCGTTTTCAATTCAATTGAATTAATTGCAACGAAACCCTATTCCAATTACGTTTGGTGTTTGTTTTTGCTGCTGCAGTTTGTTGCCGCACTGCATTTACACTTAGCTGCTAATGATAACTATTTTGTGGCACATTTAAACCTCTTTGGGTCCAAATGAATTTAAACAAATAGGCGTGAAGCAGCATGAAACTCGCTAAACAATTAAAAAAAAATTAAAAACTTCGACCATCATGACCTTGCTATCCTAATATATGTACATATGTATGTATGTATATAGTTAGCTGCGCGAGGGAATTTGTGTATTTACATACATATGTACATATATGTAAGTGGATATTAAAAAATCAATTTAAGTAAACCGAATAGCATGCGCCGATACCGTCAACAGCTGAATGGTGTCTTGTAAATAGTCGATAGTCGTCTAAATTGTTGGAATGAAGACTGCTCAAAATTCTACTCTCGAAATAGGGAATAAGGTCAAAATCCAGGAAACCTTAAATATTTTTATCAGAGCTGCAATAAGTTTGTGTTCCTGGCACCTTATCTTCTTCAGAGACACTTCATCTGAGCCGAGTGACTTAAGGTCGAATAAAAAAGCGAGAGAAATTTATCTGATTGTCTCTTCAGATTCCAACCCTGTTAAGATGTACTGGCTTTGTTTGCCTCCGGTATTAACTCAGAAAGCGGGGGCTCAAAATAATGTGTCAAGCCTCGAGTTGAAGAACTTTGTGTAGACTAGTGAGAAATCGCTTAAATGGCAACACTGTTCTATCTGAAAGTTATAAAGCTGAAGCCATTTTCATGCATTAACTCTTAACTCATCTTTACAGCGTGGCAGAATAAAACATTGAGAGCAGAAAAGGACCTAGTTAATAATAATAAGAAACATCAACCAAGACAACAAAGAAGAGAAAACTTTACAACTTTATACTCCGTTGCTTTTACCCTGTG